AGGAGTGATCTGTCCCTAGTACGGATAGATGCTTCTGCCTCTCCATTTTGGCAGGGCCAGGTGATTAATGAGACTCAGTCGAATGGTGATGCATTTTTAGCTGCAATTATCGCTGCTATTTAAATGAAATGAGACTCTCAAACTGGTAAGTCAATTTAAAGCATGGAAACTTTTCTTTCTCCCCCCCGCCCTGCTTCATTGCTCAGAAAAAATCTTGAGGGATTGGGGTGGGGAGGAGGGCCTGCCACTTCCAGAATCCCCAAATAGAGATTGTGGTTTGGGGATTTAGGACTTTGTAGTCCACAAGTGGGACATTTCCAAATTCTAATTAATTCCAGCTTTAGCGCTGGAAGAATCAAAAACCAAAGTGTGAGCAGCAAAGAATAACATTCTGGGGAGGGTGGGTAGGAAATGGGAACTTTTAAAAAACAAGTGGCCTTTCAGAAATATGGTAATTGGAGCCGAAATCCTGTATTGTGCTTATGAGCTATAAATCTACATTACGGGGCGATTGCAGGAAGGCCTGGCGATGTTGCAAGAGTGATATTACAAGGGACAGCGCCAGTGATTTCTTTAAGCATATTACAACCATTGCTCCCACCACTAGCAAGTGATGTTGCCTTTCCTTCTTGCCAATAAAGTGACTCAGGATGGAGATGTGGCATTAATGTTTCAAAGCAAACAAAAGACAGCCAGTAAGAACCTTGTTGGTAATTGCAGTGTAATATATTCACTAGTTCTCTAATTTAAGCCTTGGGGCACTGAGCGCTGCTATTAGCAAGGCCTTGGCTATGTGGAAAAGTGCTTGGAGTTTCTTCCCACTAACTTAACTGTTCCCATGTGGGGGCACCTTCGCCAAAGAGAATGGCTGTGCAAATTTGGGTTCGAGATTTAAAGATCAACTGCTGACTTATAATTAGGCTGTACTGAGGCAGGTTATTTTCATCCGATGTATTGTAAGAATGCTTGGCAATTGTGCTAGCAGAGTACAAGAGGCTACTCTCATGATCTAATGGGTGCAAATAGGGATAATCACTGTGGATGCTCATAGAATGGTAGAAAGAGAGAGGGAGTACATTTATTCTTCAAGAAATCCAAGCAGTAGAGAACCCCTCAGCTTGTTTACTGAAGCTCCTAAAGCTGGATTCCATTTATGCAAGGCTGGTTGGGGAGCCCTGATGGAGATGCCATGTCCTGCCTGCCTCTTTAGCAGAGAAAAAAAGGAAGAAAGTAGAGCTGCAGGTTGCATCAACACTGTATGCAGTTTGACGCCACTTTAAGTGCTGTAGCTCCATCCTGTGGAATCCTAGGATTTGTAGTTTTACAAGGCCTTTGTCTTTCTCTGCCAAAGAGTGTTAGTGCCTCACAAAACTACAAATTTAACCACTGCGCCGCCAGGGCTCTAAAGCTGAGAGTGTGTGACTTGCTCAAAGTCACAAGTGGGCTTCCATGGCCAAGAGGGGATTTGAACCTTGGTCTCAAGTCATAGCCTGATGCTCAAACCATTACACCACGCTGGCTCTCACAATGGCATCATGCAATGAGCTGCCACCACGAGAATAACACACCAATAGGATTTCTGCCTCAGTGATGGATTCTATAGGTCTTCAGCCTGATCCAAAATGGTTTTTGTTATCCATGGCCAGGATCTTCTCGATACCTTTGAGGCTGTTTGCCCTCAAAAGTGTACAGTGCAGACCCTGATCCATCAAATGTCTTTGTGATGCCTCTTTGTCAGTGCAGCCTAGTGAATGGCTGTTCTATCCAGAATCCCTGAGCCAGCAGGACATTTTGACTTTAATGCTGATGCTCCCTGACTCATATTCTCCTGCAGGGCTCCCGGGGGAGCCATTGTTTCTTGATTACCAAGGCAGATGCCTGCCCAAATGACAAGGTGATTAACACCTGGGGCTGGGCCCTGTGATGGAATCTTCAATTGGGATTTCTATTAGCAGCTGCTGGCCGTAAATCGTTGCTAATGCAAGTGTATTAAGGAGGTGTAATGACATTACGGAGGAGCCAAATGGGGAAGAGTAAGAGAAGTAAATCTTCCCAGGAACCAAATGAGATGCTCTGTGGTTTGTGGGATGGGAAGTTCAAACTCTTTGCGGAAACAGGAAGCCTTACTCATGTCCTATTTCATTGATGATCTGATTCAATTCTTCTTCCTTCAGCATAGCTCAACACAGATTGGACTTTCTATCTCTTTGCTGATCTGCAGACCTTGATAAATGTCATACTCTCTCTCAGGGCAGGTCTATACTTTCCAGAATACTCTGGGCTAACCCCAAACTACTCTGGCCCCAAACTTCCCCTGAATCCAACCCTTACCTGGGGGTTATTCAGATGGTGAAAACAATCCTGGTAGAATGTGGGTTGAATCTTTGTTGTCCACATACATTTTGAATGCACTTGAATAAGTTTTTTGTGGGGGCTGCCAACCCCACCCCCCTTAAAGCAGGATAATCAATCTCAGGGTTTTGCCCAGATTTTCTTAAAATATTCACATTATCAGCTGTGTGAATAACCAATGCAAATAGGCCAAGGATAAACTGGGATAAAACTCTGCATGCCTTGAACATGTTTTGCATACACCTGCATCATCGACTCCATCTTTGTTTGAGTGCTGAC